GTCTACCTGGGGTTGCTAGAGATTTCCGGACTGAGGCCATACATCTCTTCTCTCCCTTTGGTGAATGCCAGCAGCTGGCTACGTGTGACACTTGAACCAATGCAAGGCCTAAGTAGAGCCTTCGAGTCCATGTATGAGCAGGTGAAGGATAGCCACAGACACCCTGTATCCAAGAGAGACACTTGTTCCTGCTAGGAGGAATGTCATGTCCAGAGGTGTGAACATTCGGTTTTATCACGTCTCAGGTAAGCCAGATGGTCAGAGTGGGAATGGCACAGCCATGCCTGTGGCTTGCCATAGCCCTTCAGTGGTGCCCAGCACCTCTATGCTCCTGGACCCACAGAGCTCTGGGGAGCTCAGGCGATCGCTGCCGCACATGAACAGAGCAATGTCATTGTATCAGAGCTGGGTTAAGGGTATATGTTTTAGTGAACATGCAGTTATCCTACCTCGTGGTAAGTTTCTTCACTTGTTTCTAAGTTGGTTGTGGATTGTGGCTGGCCAATGGTTCTGTTTGTTTCCCTATATTGGTTTGTTTTTATAATGGTCAAGGGCTGTGTCCTGCATGTGGTTGGCCTGATGCTGCTGCGCCCTGACCAGGCTCTGTCCTCCATTGCTGGCTTGGTCACATCTTGCCAGCCTATCATCTCCTGTCTTTCCCAATATGTGGTCTCTGCACTGCCATGGTTCACTCCTGCCTTTTGCCTTCATACTGATGCTTTCTCTCCCTCTGTCCCAAGTCAGTCAGTGTTTTTCAAACCACTGCTGTCCCAGGAGATCCACAAATCATAGATTCATAGAATTCTTGGGTTGGAAAGAGCCTTAATGATCTCTCTCCTACAAGGGACCTACTAGTCTTGGCACTGCCTTTGTGAGTCTGTGCAGGAGCTGCTGTGACATGGGAGCTGCATGGCTGCCGGTAGCATCGTCAATACTAAACAGATTGCTGGGGAAAAGCAGAGCAAAAAGAGGCCCAAAATAATTTTGTGACCTGCCAGACTTGGCCTCACTGACATATTGTTTGTCACTGAGAGGTCTAGTTAGTTTCGCCTCTAAAGTGAATGTGTCTCAGCAAATGAGATCTGCAAAGTCTTGTGAAAACCACAATGCACCCATGACACTTCTGCACGTGAAAGAATCCTGTTTTTAACAGAGCAGTTAAAGACGGCCTTTACAAGTGCTCTGAACTCAGACACCAATGTTTCCTCTTTTCCATTTACCATGAAATGGAAAACTTCTTTGTTCCTTCTTGTCCTATGTTTTGTTCTCAGTTGGAGAACTAAGAACTAAAAGTTTTCCTTTTTTTGCCATCTAGGTCACCTTCTATAGCTAGCCAGTTCACATAGTGGCAGGGTTTTCCCCTCAAGATCTTAGTTATACCAGCAAAAACTGTGATGCTCAAAGATTCCTCTTTGACCTTACATGTTTCTGACATCTCTGCAAGCCCACTCATAAATGCTAAGTCTCCTGTAGTGTCTTCTCTGAATCCTCAGCTGCAATCTCTTCCAGCTATTAGTACATGTATCTCAATGGGCAGCTCGTTCTTCATTGGTACTCTTAGAGTCTACCCTGGAAGACATTAACGTAAAAATCCCAGCTATCAGCTATTCCTCAAGGAGTGTTTCTTTAGGAATATCGGAATCATATGTTGTTTCTGATAGACCCTCTTCTGAATTTCTCACTCCTCTCAGAGCTTTCTGCTGCAGTCAGCCTCTGCTCGACTGTGCAGTGATACAACCCACTTCACTTTCCACTTCAGTTTTAGTACTGGACCTTTGGTGTTTATGGACTCCAGATCCACAGCAGGATATTTGTTTCTTGTAGAATGTTTTTGTCACATGCTCTGCATCACCAATAGCCAGGTCTGAACTTCAGATGTGTTTGGTAGTATCTATCTGCACTAAATACCCTGCTTTAAAAATAGCCTTCATTCATGAAGGTGGATGAGATCAAAGTAGCTGTAGTCTGAGACAGACTCTGTCAAGTCTGATGTGCTCTACAGGAGGTAGCTGTAAGGATGATGGGATTTCTGTCAGTATGGTAGGATCCTTGACCACCTCCTTCTCCTCCAGTGCTCTGTTGTAGGTCCAGTATAAGAGGGAGAGCTAAGTCAAAATAGTGTTCCTCCAGCGGTTCAGTTTAAAGCAGTGGTTTTCACCCAGGGAGGCATATCTCACTCAGGAGGCAATAATGTGGCAGAAGGATGCGAGAAGGTGTTCTGTCTGCTAAACCCTGCCAGACCTGTCCTAGCTCTATGTGTGAGACATGCACAGCAACCCTGGAGCCAGCAGCGGTCGGGACAGCAGCTTTTGGACAGGCATTTGAGTCTATGCAGGGGTGGAAAAGGGTCAAAGGAGATAAAACAAATGCCAGGTGGAGCTACACTGAACTGCTCATTGCTAATTGTAACCCATGGCACACTGAAAGCACATTAGGCTTGCACTGAGGATCAACAAAAAGAAAGCAAGCAAGCCAAACCTGAGCTTGTGCTGAACTCAGGCCAGATGCACAGGCACTAAGTCAGAAAGCAGCCACAGAAACTTGTCTTCATACTGTCTGGCACAGCAGTTACTGAAGCTGCCACTCCAGCCACATTCCTGCTGCACTGGGAGCAGCCACTGCTAATGTGAGCAGTGGCATGACCCTCTTTGTAACTGCAGCAATACTGCTGTCCACTTCCCCACTCCCAGCTTTTCTGGTTTGAAAACCACTGGCTTACATGCACTTTTATAGCCTCTTGTATACAGAAATAAAGGAACCTGGATGGGATAGCCAAAAAATTCTGTACAGAGCTGTGAAATTTCCATTTCTGTTCCAAAGTGGAGCTGAGCATTGTCAGGGCAGCCTGAGACAGGTGAAATGCTGCCTTCAGGCACTTCTAGTTTGATGGCAATGCTGTTTATGTGATCATGATGAGGCTACAAGATCAGTGTCTCCCAAAGAGACATGGGAAATGCTGAGCTTGAAAGAGCTGTCTGCAGTTTCAGGCAGAAAGCTGTACAGAGGGGGTGCTCAATTCAGACTGAGTATTTGTTTAAAAATAGTGTCCTGTGTACAGAACTCTGGGAGAGCCCTCAGAAGAAAATTAGCCTTGCCCATTGAGTGCTAAAGAGCAGAACTAGTGTGTGGCGTTTTTTTTCCCTCCCCTTCCCCCTTCCCATATGAGGTTGCTGGAAATTAAGGAACTGCTGGTTTATGGGCAGCAGCCAATATAAATGGGATTATGGGAAGAGGGGGTTAAAACCAAGCCTAGATGCTCCTTGGTCTTTGCCAGAGTAGCAAACTTTATGTTAAAAATTCAAGAGAAGTCAGTAGCCATCATCTGTAGTGCTTTCTGTTGCAACACAAACTCAAACAAATGGGGAAGTGTCATGGTTTAAACCCAGTCAGGCAATTCGTTCACTCACTTCCCCCCTTCTTGCCCTCCCCCTGCTCCCGGAGGGACGGAGAGGAGAGTCAAAAAGAATGCAACTCCCACGGGCTGAGATAAGAACAGTTTAGTAACTAAGGTATAACACAAATCACTGCTGCTACCACCAATGATAATAATGATAAAGGAAATAACAAGGGAAGAGAATACAACACCTCACCACCAGCCAACCAATAACTTGCCCCCCCCCCAGCCTGACCAAGCACCGACCCATACCTCCTCCAACCCTGCAGTCTCCCAGCCCTTCCGGCTAACTCCCAGTTACATCCTGGGCATGACGTGCTGTGGTATGGAATACCTCTTTGGTCAGTTTGGGTCAGGTGTCCTGTCTCTGCTTCCTCCCGCCTTCTCCTCCTCCCTGGCAGAGCATGAGGCTCACAAAGTCCTTGGCCAAACCAAAACATCGCTATCAGCTCTGTTCCCAAGATGAAAGTCAAAACACTGCACTGCACCAGCTACCAAGAAGGAGAAACATGAGTGCTACTGCTGAACCCAGGACAGGAAGGTAACAAGGAAAAGAAAACCATCTAAGAAGACCCTATGAAAAACTAAATTAAGTTTGATCAAGCCGACTAGTCACCCTGGCTGTTTACCCTTTGCTAAATCTTATTTGGCATAGGAAGGATCCTCTCCGATCTCAGAATGTCTCAAAGCAAAAGTAGGCTTCTTTAAAGTCTTAGAGGAAAGAACTCAAACTAATTCATTTTCACCACCTACCAGTGTGGTGTGATTGCTGTTACCAGCCTGTGACTTTATGACAAGACTTGTGGTCTCCTTAAAGCTGCAGCTACTACATGAAATAACAGCTACACTAAATGCAAAGAAGTATCAGCTTTCATTTAAAAGCAAGGTCTTTGGATTACAGAGGAGAGCATCAGGCATCGTCCCAGTATTTTGAAGTCTCAGAGAAACAAGTTGACTCCCAAAACATTTGACAAAAAAGAATAATCTTAACTTAGACTCCACATTTCTGAGTGCCAAAGTTCAGCAGTGGCGTGTAAAAAAAGACTGAGAAAAAGAAGAAATGTAGTGTATCCACTTAGTCACTATAGGCCAGCAGGTAAACATCATAGTAAAATACCTGTCTTGCTTTTCCAGCAGATTAAAGATGAGAGGAAAGGCTGGTTGCGAATTCTCCTTATGGAGAGAAGGAAGCCCAGCATTTGTGTTTCTAACATAGCACGTCTCATGCTTTGCAGGGATGGTTAAATCTGACCTAACAGCCACCTGTATCCTGCCAAAATCCTTCAGTCCTAATTATCATCTATCCCTTACAGGAACTAAAATTGATTTGTAAGAGAGAAACATATTTTTTATAGGAAAGGGAATTCGTAAGGAAAACAGGTAGCAAGGATTCCATCAACTGCAATGAACTCTAATTAATACAGACCCAACAACGCTTTATGTCTGTTGTATCAATCACAGGAGGTTTAGACTATGGTGAAATATCAACAGAGCCTACATTTCTGAAGCACAAAAGCACAGCACAGAGAAGTAGTAATCAAGCAGAACAAAGCAGAATAGTGCTTAGTAGAAATAATGCCTTGCCTCAGGGACAGAAATCTCTTACCTATTTTTAATCTGGCTTTTGCAGAGGAGTCGATGAAGGGCTCCAACTCATGCTGTACCCACAGGCTGCTCTGTAAACACTGCAGGAAGTTACTAATGATACCGTGAACAGTCATAAGCAGTGTGAGCTGAAAGAAAGTGGTCTGCTGATGACTTCATCAGGCTCCCAAAGTGTGTCACTTGTAGTTAGGTGCACAGTTGTAGATAGGGTTGTGATTGGAATACCCCAGCCTTGGAAATCTTAGTCCTGCCACCATTTGAGAAAGTGACTGGATAAAGACATCTATGGTAAAGAATATCTTTGGGGAAGATCTGCACCTGAAAATATACTGAAAGAGTGAAAAGAGGCAGAAGAAATTATTTACTAGTTACTCAACGTGAAGGATAGTAAGAAAAGTGAAAAACCAAATGGTCAGAACAGGAAAATATGGAATTATCAGGAAGACAGAAGGGAGAAATGCATTGTGATGGTGGATCTGTGTGTAAATGCAGACCAGGCACTGAGATGTTACTACCAAGCAGAGCACACAGGGTATCAGAGTTTATTCAACATTTCTGCAAAGTCAAAGCTTTTGAGAAGTCTCTAAAACAACCTGCTCCCATGCTGTTCCCTGTACTGCTTTCAGATATGAAATAGCACCCATGCTCCTGCACAGTGGGCTTGAGCAGCCGTATGTGGCTGCTGCTTTTCACAAGTCAGTGGCTTGGCAACCACAGCTGCATTTAGGAGGTGGCCCATGAGAAGAGCAATGCTTCCTGCCTCTCTGTGTCAACCCAGATAACACAGCCTGGCTGGGGGGACTTTGGGCTGTTGCTGTTTGACTTCAGCTTCTGTTTAATCTATCTTTCTTGCTGTGCCAGCAGAGGTGGGAGACATGCATAGGTATGCTTGGGCTATTTGCTGGGTATGTGTAGCCTTGGCAAAATGAGCTGCTATGGCTGGCTGCCGAGGCTGAGCAGTGCAGTCAGAAGATTAGCTAAGAGAAAAGAAAGCCTTAACAAGGGGAGCGATTCCTTTCAAATTCTGTCACTTGTGGCAGGGGTGAGAAAATGTAGGTTCAACTCTTGTAACTGCCAGACTCCATTTGTGACCAGAATTTTCATCTCTTGGGCTCCTATTCCAGGTGTACTCCTTCATCAGTGTGCTAATGTGCCCTGGAGGAACAAGAGACCAAGGAACTTGGGCTGCCAGGCCCTGTCAAGAACAGGATGCCCACTTTAGATGCTTGTTCTTTGTACAGTGGAGATACCTGCTCTGGGTGCTACACATATATTCACTTGAATATGTATGAAATGGCTAGGTATTTAAATGGATGCAGAACGGTATTAAAGCCCAATAGAAGGGGGTGGTGATATGAAGAAAAGACCATTCTGGTGCCAGTTTGCTAGAAAAGGCTGAGAATGCTAAAGAAGATAAGATAGTGTTTTGACAGCTTTGAGAGGAAGAGTTCATTTGCAGGAGCTTATTAATGGCAAAGAGCACTGATATGAAGGAGCCTGTGAGCTTTAGCAAGTGCCCTAGCTCAGGCTTTAGGCAAAGGAGGAAGAAGATCCCAATGTTATGTTGCCAGCCTAGACCTTGTTTGTGAGACCTGTTCCATGCATCATTGCAGATGCTATGTATGACTCTGTGAAAGTCACTTATGAACAGATTTATGAAGGCAACTTGCTGGTCAACTTCTACTAATTCCACCTCTGGTAAGGTGCTTGCAGCACCCCATGAGGGTCTGTCAGTGCTTGAAGATTGCTGGGGGGCTGAGGTAGGACAGTGAGGAACTGGGTGGCAGTCTAAGGCAAGCAGATAACTGAATTTGCGTTTAATAACTGTATTGAAAGTGAAATATTTCTTTTGTAAAATTAAAGAAATGCTTAGTGTGTACTTTCATTCTGGGGTGAAAAAGTCACTTTGTTCCAGTTCTGCTAGAGAGGGTTTCAGGGGAAGAGTCTGTGAAGATAAAATCATTCTCAGAGCCATAAGGAACTGGGAAAAAAGAGCCTGGAGGCAGCTTAGTAGGCTCCATTTGCAGAGAAGAACAGGTGAAATTTCTGTCTGCACAAGCTCAGCCTGGCTGGACATAGTGCTGGACCCAGTCTGTGCACTGCCCTAAACTCATGATTTCATCATTATACTCCTCTGCATCAATATAAAACTAAAAGGAAACTGTAAACAAGGGTGGGAATAATGTTTCTGAGATGAATAGGACTTATTTCTCTGTGTAGATGGCCAATCTTCATTCAGAGATGTGAGACAGAAAAGAGCAGAGTGCTGTCCATCCTGTAGAACTGGAGCTTTCATAGGGACCAGTGAGCTCCTCTGTGGTATTTCTAATGTACCAGATCACAGTTCTCATTTGGGTGTAGTCAGTTGTACAATGCCAGATTATGCCCTCTGTGATGCTTACTTGCTCACACTCATACAGGGTTAGGATATTCAGAGACATGTATGCATTTGCCAACTAGATTTTATGATGAAATACTGAAAATTGTGTGGTCCTCCATAGAGAAATGGAAGACAACACATCTCTGAGCCCTTGAATCTTCCAGACAGACCTGAAAAAGCATTACTATTTAGAGTCACTGCTGCTTCATGCTTCTGTTAGTAATACGGCCTCAGTCAGCATCACCCACAATCATTGCCCTAGCAAGCTGAAGACTGATGCCAAGATTTCACATTGGAAGATGCTTTCAGAAACTTTTGACAAGATCTTCTGTGACTGGAGATAAAAACAGAGTTAGCGCTTCCGTGGGTGGCAAAAATAAACCAAACATTTCAAGTAAGTTTAGTCTGCATTCAGTAGAGATAATACAAGCAGTACAGCAATATAAATTTTGGCCTGAATTGTATTTTACTGATGTCATGCCCAAGGAGAAAAAAAAAAATCAGGTAAAGAACCATTTATAGCAGAAGGCAGAAACCCTCTGGCCTTTGTCTAAATCCAGTTGAAGTAAATGGAAATGTTTCTTTGAGCATCCATGAGTTTAGATTGGGTAATTTTGAGCATTTTTCCTTCTGCTTTTTAACTGCTGGGCTCTGTTTAGATAGTTGCCTTCAGTGTGGTACATTTAAGCAAGGTAAGCTGCATATGAGATATATTCTCTGCACTCTTTGTCATTTTCCTACTGGGGTTCAGAGACCATCTAAAGAATAGGGGAGGAAAGAGTCCAAATTTCTTTAACTCCCTGCTGCATAACACACATCTTTTGGGGGGATTTTCACAGCACTATGAGAGTAAAAATGCTTGTGCACCACTGGGCAGTAAACAGAAATACCTGTGGAAGACTGATGGGGTCCAATGTCTTTGAAAGACTTTCAGACTGAGTTTTTCACTCTCCTTTTTAATTTAAAAACAGTTAAGGGAAAAGCTGGTAGGATATTTGGCATTTCTCCGTTCCACTGCACATGAAAATACCATTAATGCTGTCTTCCTGTGGTCGTGACCACCAAGAATCTGTGAATGGCAGAAACCTCAGATCATCTGCCTCTTCTATGTCCATGTACAAATGAACAAAGTCACACTCCCATAACAGCTCTGCAAAAGTTTACCCAAGAAGACAATTTTTGCACAATTGTGTGTCTTATTTTTTTGTAAGCAACTAAAGCCCATTTTTCTTGGAAAATTATTTGCTTTAAATTTTGCAGTGTGGAAAATGAGCAAATGAAAAGAGGGCCTTGAAAGTATGGGTTTTGGTAGGAAAAAGCCAAATATCTGGCTCTTCTCTTGTCACCTGTCAGCACACTGAACGGGACTGAGCAGCAGACACGTCTGGGGAATGCTCCATCCCTGGCAGTGTTCAAGGCCAGGCTGGACAGAGCCTTGGGTGACATGGTTCAGTGTGAGGTGTCCCTGCCCATGGCAGCGGGGTTGGAACTAGATGATCTTAAGGTCCTTTCCAACCCTAACTATTCTGTGATTCTATGCTGCATGTATAGGATGCTTAATGATAAAAGCAAGGCAGGAAAGTGCTAAAGAGTTTGCCTAGGACAGCAGTGACCAGCAGCTAAGAAGTGCTGAGGGCTGGAGTCTGCTCAGCTCTGTGCTTTTCTGGCCAAGCACTATACAAGTGCCCCTGCACTGGTATGATATACAACTCTGGCTAAGAGAGAGCCTCAGTAGCTTGTGGTTCAGACTTGGTTTATCTGTGACTGGCTGTGATGGTGTTGATTTGGGGCAGGGACAAAAACCAGCCATGGTGTTTTTTGCAGTTGATATCAGGATCAGTCACAGGTTAGATCCCTCAAGCCAGATAGTGTGGGTTGAGATCTGTGCTAAAACTGAAGCTCAGCTTCCTCCCAGCAACCACTTACCTGCAGAGTCTTCCTGCTACACGTGTAATGTAGTTCCACCTCTCCCTGGCAATCAAGCCAGCTGGGTGGCAAAACCATTGAGCTGAGCCCAGCACAGATCTCATGCAGCTTTTTGGCTTCACATGCATATCCAGTTTACAGCACACCATCTGCAGGGAATGCAGAAACCTTCCTGTTCTGCTGCTGGAAATCAAATGCAGAAATGCAGCTGCTAAGATATTTGATGCACCGGCTTTTCTATAATGTGATGCATGCTGTGCAGTGTGGAATGACATAGATTCCTTCTGGCTTGTTAGGCTGCATAGATGCGTGCATCTCACATCTGTGCTTTAAAGTCCTGCTTTCAATGTGCCTGTGTTTGTGAGTAGTATGTAGAAATTTGGTCATCCTCAGTTTTCACTATCTGGTGATGTTCTGTCTGCTCAGGGGTGGAAACCTGTTAAGTCAAATATGTAATTGATCATGCCCTCTTCAGAGAAACATCTCCCACCCCAAAGAGAAAAGTCCTATCATGTGTGACAGTCCTACCGCTTCATGCACTGGGATTAATATGTGCTCTGGCAGGAACTCCCTGGCATAGTGCAGCTGTTCACACAGTGCATCTGAGAGATCTTTGACTATTTGACTTCTGTGGGGCAACAACAGATTTGTCTTCTGTATGGGAAGAGTCTGTATGGTAAGGTGCCATTCTGTATGCTGGGGTCCTTGGGGCAAAGTGGGATACACAGCTATGTCATATCCAACAGCCTCTCTGGGAAGCCTGCTGCCAGTGATACACCCACAGCAGAAGCTGAGGGAGTGTGCTGCAGCCACAGTGGATTTGGC